AGATGTGAATGTAGGTAAGAGGGAACATTTTAAGGGTCGACGTAGAAATTTCTTCACGTAGGGGTCTTGTTGCAATTGTGGATTTCAATTATCTGGCAATAGGACCACAACCCAAGACCAGCCACTAGAGTCATTCATTTCTAGTGCTGTGTCCTACGTCCAGGGTTAACTATGCCCACACTCAAACAAGCCATCGAGACATAAGGTGGCTTCTTTTGATAAATACGTGTTTCAAAATATAACCCAGAAGCTCCACTCGATTTCAACAACAGTATAACAATCAATGGCAAGATACTGACAAGCAGCACTGTTCCAAAATACACATCAGTTGAAATACATTTACACAGAGACGCATAGTCACGCAGTTTTTGGTACCTATTCTGTAATTCTGGGAGTGGCAAACACGAAATAGGGCCCGCAAGCTTAGCTTAACTACACCGAGACCTTTGCGTTGTTTAAACTTCCGGTGACAAACAATGTTTCATACCTTTTTTCGAATGGTCTCGTTGTTGTCCAGTCGACAGTATAGAACTGATAATCTTTGCAGAAATAACAAATTTCCGATCTAACAACCCCCAAATTAACCAACTATTACGACTGTCATTAGCTGTGACAGCCAAGCATGGTTGTACAAAATCATATTTGGCGGTTGCGCAATTTGAATATATGCGTGTTACTGAAAAATCTGGTACCGGAAGTAGCGCCTCACGAGACCCAAGGCGGGTCTTTCATACCAACGGTTCCCTCGCCTTTAAGATCCCTAAAAGAACACGTGTACATAGCTAGCAAAGTTTAGCTCTTGACTTCTGATCTATCTGTGTAAATTACATTAAGTCATCTCTACAACTTACATGGTTCGGGCCTCCTGCAGTGTTAGTTAGTGAGTGCGTTCCTTAGCGGGTACACACCGTTGAGTCAACGTTGACTTTGGTTGTTTGGTTGATCAACCTTTTATAAACGTTGATTCAACGTTTATCATGCGACCAAAGAAAAATTTGTCGAGATTCGGTTAGTTGTCAATCGTTTTTTCAACGTAAGGAACCAACAAAATGTCAACTAATTGCTTCCTTGGCAAATTTGATACATAATTTATATTGGTAATAGGCATCCAACTTGAAGCAACTATCATTTCTGAACATTAATTTCACACAAGATGCAGATCGACCTAATGACAGATATAATCTAATATATTGTTTGATTGCATCTATCAACGGATCCGGGAATATTACTGTGAAATCATGAATTGAAAATGATAAAAATCAATTAGTTTTAGGTATAAAGTCACAGGGTTATCCGAATTGCATTAAATTTGATATTTTCCAACAAAACTGTCAAAATTCGTAGGCAATTGCCAACAATTTGCTTTTCAAACACATGCCAGATGTTGACTTTTCGATCGCCCTCGTTTGGTCATATATCAGGACATGCATACGCAATTATCGTGCGCAAAGGCAGTTGTTCCGTTGTCAGTTCGGCATTTCACTTTGGCGAAGTTCAACGCAATATCGTTCTATTTTCAACATCTTCACGGCATGCTGATGTTTATTTGGTAAGCATTCCATTCATGTATAATGAAAACGTAGAGATGTTGTTTAAGTCTAGCAGGTCAATGTAGCAGGAAGTCGTGGAAGCCCGTGCTTTCCATGAACTTGTTTTGTTATATTTCAATATATTTGCATGCATATATTCCGCATTTTATTATATAATCGAATAATATTTCCTATCGCACCCATCATCTGATTTGAATTTTGCAACATATACATTTTAAATAATCAATGAAGTAAAATGTATATAAGGGACTGTTCAGGGGAGAGAGAGATAGTGGTAATGATGATTTTGTTGGGGGCCACCCATTTTGTTCTAGGGGAGCAAGGGGGTCAGCAATTTTATAAGGTTCTACTATGTTTATAATGGTGCTTTACAAATTATGGGAAGGGAGGGGCATTGATTTTGTACATGGCATGCAGAGGTGGCCACCTTATTTTGTACATACATTTAGGGGAGGGAGGGAGGTTAATTCACTTTTTTTGGGGATGGAGAAAGCGAATCTTTCTAAGTTCATGCAACGAAAATTTAAGCATCAAAAATGTCTTGTGCAAGTCTTTTGAAGGGTTACATTTGTATATAATGTATTAGAACTTTTACTTATTTACAAAATGTGTAACTTCACCTATGACTCTTTTGATGGGACAACTAACAAAACTGCACACAAAGACTTTCATTCTTTATAACAACTTGGTTTGAAGGATGTGATGATATATATCTCTTAATGCTTAAAATGTTACATTTAAAGAAGTAATTTAGTAGGAACATTTAATTATTAAAAATAAGATTTATTTTTAATGAAATTTGCAAAATCTCATATTCGAAGATAGGGTTGAATTAATTTCGTGGATCACATAAAAGAGAACAATGCTAAGAGTAACAGGTTTTTAAACATTTTCAATTGTTTGCCAGTATCTCCAACACAAAGTTTGGCAGAAATATGATAATGTTCTTTTTATTACCATCCGCTTATTTTCATCATTTAATGTGAAAATGGCTCTTTGTTACAATTTATGACTCCTGTTAGCAAAATTGCTACATCATTACTCTCCTATTTCATTTTGAATAATCATTTCAAAGGAATCTCTAAAAGAAAACTAAATCTGACCAGAATAACAACAAACTTCCCTTGTCTTGCAGGACAATGTCAAAACAATTTGATGTCAAGAATGAATGTTGATGGACAAAACTTAAAGTTTTCTTTTTAAGAATAACAAGGTTGTATTCAGTCATCTCTGGTAAAGTTAATTAATCAAATGCAGCATTTTCATCATGACCATAGCAAATAATATATGACAGTGAAAAGAATCGTCTAATTCATTTCTAATTTTATAGTGTAATTGAATAATCAACTTATAATTGAGGATTTTCTTTGAAAATGTTTTAAGAAAACTTCCATTCCTTTAGTTAAAAAAATATAAATTATTTTACACTAATATAAAGTAACTTTTCCTCATATTTTGTATGGATGCTGTTCATATGCATGTTACATATGTTCACACGTCAAGTTACAGCAGTGAAATGAACCTTTCAAATGATTGATTAAACAAATACTTGAATCATTTCAAGATCAAACATATCTTCCATATGAAATTATACATGTATTTAAACGATAAACATTTCAGAATGTGTCCTATCATTCATGGGAATGAGATAGGAATGCATCCGAAGCAAAATTTCAAGAATGAGTTAGGAACGTTTCTGAAGTATCCACCTGGCCACCAGGCGAGGGAGTGGCAGAAGGAAGAGGAGCTAATAATTGCTTTTTCATGTGTTTACGCGACTTAAAAAACAACCTCGAATAAACAAACAAAGGAACAAACCATTTTCAACGTTAATAATATTTTAAGCTTCAACGTTGATTCCATCGTCGGATATCTACGTCTAACAAACTTGCATATATACAACCTTTCTTTCAACGTTAATATGCTTTTCAAACTTCAACGTTGACTCAACGTCGGATATCTACCACGTCTAAAACTTTCATATACAACCTTTTTCTCAACGCTGATATTAGGTCAAACGTCAACGTTGATTCCACGTTGGATATCTACGTCTAAAAAACATTCATATACAACCTATTTTCAATCTAATTTTAACGTTGAGGACCAACCTATTCTCAACGTTGAACTCGTTGAAGCAGCAAGTTTTACGCTGCTTTAGGCAATATTCCGGCACATGACTGCAGCGCGTGGGCAGCTACTGGCTAAAGCGTCGGGCTAGGTCATCCAGCGAGTTTGAGGTGATCGATCGAGCCCACCTGGCGACCCGGGTGTAAACCTTGGAGTCAACTTTATGTGCAGACCTTTCGGTGTTGTCACAACTCTGTGGGTACAATAATAACCCCTGTGCACTTAAAAGAACTTACGAATCCGCTGGTATATGACCAGATGGTGGCCACATGAATACGTGCAAACACCCAGTTGCGGCTACAGCAACGTGCAGTAAACATGGACAAAGTACTGTGACTATGTGTCCCAGTCCACCCAGCTGTAAATGGGTACCTCATAAGGATGGGAATGCCACACTAACTCGGTGCGCCTAGTGGCTGCAAGAGTTGTATGCTCCCCAGGGAGTTGAGATGGGGTATGTAACACGCGTCTTCCGCATAACTGGTGAACGTTTTAACTACAAGGCTACCTACGCGACAATTCGACAATACGACAACGCTACAATCCGACAACGACACAGTGTCCCTTCTAGGTGTCCATACTTTGATGATTGTGACTACAGTAAACTGGGTATATATCGTGCGGTGGAAATACATGTTCTGTAGCGTAATGACGTTACTTAAACATTTATCAGATATTTCAGTTGTAGTAACAAATATTATTTTTCCATTCTTCATCGTTTTCTAGTCCCTTCGTGCAAGAAGAAATCAGGAGCTACCGGGTTTTCTGAAGAAACAACATGCTCTTTAACTTCACAAAGTGCAGCCCACGGGCGACTGTGCAGAGAGACAAAATGTGGTGTGACATCTTAAGTTATGGAGCCATTGAAACAACGGTGACTCTCCTGGAGAAAGATGACCCTCCTGGAGAAAGATGACCATGACCTCGTATGTTACTTGCTGTCATGCACATCCCCGACTCATCTAAATGAGGACGAAAAATTGGAATGTGCCAGTCACATAGTCAAAGGACTGTACGAGCTCTGTGACTCCATCACCTGAACTTGAAGCCAAAACTTAAACTGTAATGAAAAACCCGCGCCAGTACCTGTGTAAATACTTAAATTTATATCTATCACATTTTCTCTTGATCTGAATATATGTATATATGTATATATATAGGCATATTTCCCTATATTTTACTAACTGCGACGGAACTATCCCTTTTCAGTGTTGGCAGAGGTTTGCAAAGGGGCAAATTTATATAGAGCAGCGATGACATTAAACGTTGATCTCCTTTGCATAACACATTCAGTAATATTTCCAACAATTCATATATTACCAGAAAAGCATGCTTACTCGTAAAATCCGGCAAAACTTAGAAAAAGTACGACCAGCTGCTGAAAACAATAGATCAGACTATAGATGGTAATTAGGTCGCCCATACAGGTATGGCGAAAAGACCGTCGACTCACCTGGCATGAAATGCATGTGCAACCTACAGGTATAAGGGGCCATCTCAAAGTAAGATATTTATGCTTTTCTTCACGTAAGTGTGAATATGTCTCATCTATTGATTAACATCTTGCGTGTCTGTATTTCATAAAGGTTTATGCGAAGAGTATGATACTTATAGAAAAGCTTAAATCAGCCATTGTATTAAATGTCTCAAAATATTGGTGGCATGACTCACCCGAGGATCGACAGGACTGGATGTTATTTGTAATTGTTTAGACACGCCGTTTACTGCCCCAGCTTAATTCTCCCCGTCCTGGATTTGCATTAGTAGAGACGAACCTCCCTGTTCGCTTCTATTTTTATTGCATGACAGTTTTGAACCTTCGGTAGCAAACCCTATAGCTTCAGTATTAAAGTTATCATTTTTACGTCAGCTATCAAGTTTATAATGAAGCTAAGTCCTTTGTAATATAATATTATCGCACACTAATTTGTATAGAGTCGTGGTCTGTTTAAAAATAAGTCTGGACTTTGAAAATAACGCGCATTGCACTTTGCACCAACTTGTCATCCGTAAAGTCCCTTTTCGTTGTTTCTTATCTTCCAGCCACTGAGACTGTAGTTAGTCGAAGTTAGTTTAACAGATACTTCACACTTTCACGTATTAAACTTACGCCAATTTTAGATATAAATGTGAAAAAAAAAAAAATCTTTTCTATTTTCGACAGTAACTAGTCAGTAACATCCCGATATTGCGGTGGCTTTCTGTAAAACGCAATTTAGTTCTAATCAAAACATAACCAACAAACCACCTGGTTAATTATAATACGTTCCAATACATCCGTCGTTATTTTACCTTTTAATCAATAAGAAATGAATCATGCTTTCAACAAATACCAACATAGAAACAGAGAAATTCTGAATCACATTTTATTTTTCCTACTCTATGATTATTATTAAAGCCAAGTCAAGAAATCTACCAAACATTTTCTTTCCTATCACTGGACCGTCTACATAAAGATATTCTGATAGAACTCTTTGCTAGTCTTCCTCTTACACTGTAAAGTTATGTAATCCTGACATCGCATGTCAGATAAATTAACTGCGTTGGAACAACTATCGCATTCACAAAATTCCTGCTCGTAGGTTGACAATAGGACATACCAATCTACGCCAACCCTGACGTAAATTATTAGAATAGTGTGTTATAGTCTGAAAATATATTTGCTATGATATCATAGTGGTGTTATGTCTGTTGCCATACTGTCATTGTGGTAAGTAGGTCTGTTCCAATGATGTCATAGTGGTGTTAAGGTCTGTTTTCATGATGATGTCATAGTGGTGGTAACGGGCTGTTGCCATGATGTCATTGTGGTGCTAGCGTCTGTTCCAATGATGTCATAGTGGTTGGTTATGTCTGTTGCCCATGATGGCATAGTGGTGTTATGTCTGTTCAAATGATGCCATAGTGGTGTTATGTTTGCTTGCCATGATGTCGCTAGTGGTGTTATGTCAGTCGCTGTGATATCATAGTGGTGTTGCCAGCCTGTTGCCATGATGTCATAGTGGTGTTATGTCTGTTCCAAAGCTGTGGTAGTGGGTGTTATATCTGTTTTCATGATGTCACCAAGCGGAGTTAAGGTATGTTCCATGCTTCTGAGGTGGTCTTACGCGTCTGTTGCCATGGTGTCATAGTTGAGTTGTGTCTGTTGCCATGATGTCATTGTGGTGTTATGCCTATTCCAATTATGTCATAGTGGTGTTATGTTTGTTGCCATGATGTCATAGTGGTGTTATGTCAGTCGCTATGATATCATAGTGGTAAGTATGCCTGTTACCATGATGTCATAGTGGTGTTATGTCTGTTCAAAGCTGTGGTAGTGGTGTTATGTCTGTTTTCATGATGTCATAGGAGTTGTTATATGTCTTCAATCATTTACCAACAGTAATAAATAAATTAAGCTAAGATATGTTTTAAAACGGACCACAGCTTTTTTTTCACGTAACTTACTTTTGGACCAGTTTTTAACAAACAATATAATTCAACGAGCCTCATCTTTTCACGGTCAGATCAGTAGTGTGTAGAGAGCGCGTCTTTTGCGCAAATCAAAACATGTTCGAACACCGTTAGCAACATTGCTAGCGCGACCAGTCCTTAAACATTTCCTTTTTGGACAGACTAAAACGACAGGAAGAACAAAATTAATCAGGGGAGAGGGTAAAGGGACTGGATTAAAGTATTAAAGTAATTAATTTGGTTTAGTGATCAGTTTATCGTAACAAAACGTTAGTGGAGTAATTGATATATTAGGTGCGAGTTATGTGTTTGTGGGTTGTCTTTCACGGTCTGTTGTTGCAGTCGTTACGGCGTTTTAGACAATGCTTTGTATGATGGCGATGACTGTTCAAGGCAAATCTGGCCGTTTTGCTTGATTCATGTTGTTGGTTGTATAGCGTTGTTAAAGGCTGGCGGTAGCATTTGGCTGTCGTAATCACGTTAGAAGCACGTTGCTGAGGATTAAACCGTTGTTACTCCGTTCGCCGAAATCGAAAAAGACGTATCGGACGCGACGTTGCTTACTTTGTTTCACCGATATCGGGCTCGGTCAAAGATGGTTAGATTGGACTTCCGAGGTGTAACCCAGGCTTAGTATATGTCTGTTCATTGTATATTTCTCTATCGGTCACTATTTTATACGTTAGAATGGCCGCTCCGGGGCGGTAAAGGACGATCACTACTTGGACTTAGAGGGGACATTGCACTTCGTCAAAATGTTGCAGGTCAATGAAATGGAGATTGACCTTCAAAATGATTAAAGGTGGGACGCCAAAATGAAAACAAGCGTGTATATCTAGTTTTCATTATGCATTTCTCCAGCGGTCGCTTCGGGGGCGGTAAAGGGGCAATCACTGGGACTTGGATCCAGGAATGGTTTGAGTAAAAAATGACATAGAATTTATAACGAGAATGTAGATTGAACGGATTATACTTGACGGATACAAGTGTTTTCTACACATTTCAGTTTTGAGAACATTCCATCGAACATCAATGGATACCTCAACATGGCGTGCAATTCCTTTCTCACCCGATGCATATGGGTTATCTTTTGAACCGTTTGGACTAATATCAAATTATTGCCTGTCACGAGTGTCATCTTACCGTAACATTATTATATTTGTAATCAACTCATGGAATAATATAATGAAGCTATTTTAATAAGAATGTATTACCGCTTCAAATGATAGGTTATTTAGGCTACTCACTACAATTAAGGTCGTAATCAACAAATAAAGGACTAAAAATACCAATCAGAATGTTTTGATTGTTGTTTTTATAATCCATGTATTACTCCAAGGAGACATTTCGAAATCCTGTTGTACTTATGCAGGCTGCACGCGAAACTGACACCAGTCCAAGAGTTATTGTGTACTATTTTTGTGTCTGGCTGCTTCTGGTGGTAAGCGTTCAAGAATCACTGCTGTAATGCCCGAGAACGATATTGTAGTAAATAATCTAAACTATAATGGCGCAACAATGAGTTGATATGTGACAGAGTTAATAGGATCGCTGTTCTAAAGACCATATCATCCTTAGGTCTGTAATGATGGTATATAGAAAATGTGCTACACTTTATCACAGCTTTTTGGTCAGTAGAATGCGTAAAGCCCATGCCAGTTTGCGTGGGACAAACAGATTTCAACATGACTCCTTAGAACATTGTTACAGCGAATAAACGAATGTAGGAAATACACCGCATCCAGCCATTCATCTCCAGAAATCGTTTTGTAACGGTGACGTCAAATATGGGCAACAACGGCACTGGGACGCCGTGACAGTCGATATACTGTGCGAACCGGTGACTTGCGAACATGGTAATCGAGCACGTCGATCCTACCATGAGTACATCTAGCTCTTCACAACCGACGTTGTCCATTAACATAGGCCTAGTAATTCTTACTTTAGCGAATGCGTGATTAGCGATGTGTGATATTCACCGATGAAAGTAGGATTTTACCTGTACAATAATGATAGCCAGAGCTCGTGTTTACAAACCTTGTAGAGTACATGTTTTGAGCCGAATTGCGTTCTGCAAGCCAAACCATTTGGGGCCGATAGCGTGATAATTAGTGAGCAGTGATCTCAAAACCATACTTGTAATCATTCATAGCAAGGTTAGGAACCTGTAAATCCGAAAGGGTTGAGCGTTCTGTCATAGTGTATGCTTTCTGAGATCTATTCCTGAAATGAACGCGAACTTGTGAACCAGCCAATATACTTTCATGAATGGAATGCGACCGTAATATAAATCGACAATATCCTGTAGCCAGGGTTCTCTTTAGAATATTCCTCGGACTGGGGAGGCAGCTCTTTCTTTAAGACTATCCCTGGAACACAGAGGTTACTATAGAATATTCCTGTGCTAGAGAGACATTCACTAGATCTCATCCCTGGAACACAGAGGTTTTCTATGAAATTTTCTGTGCTTAATAGAACGTGAATTAGAATAACCCTGGAAAAAGGGATGTTCTAAAATATATCTGGCACTTTCGGGCGGCTCAGAAGACTCTGCTGTGGTTGCTAAACGGAGAAAAATATCATGTGAAATTCTGTTGGAGTGTTCCAGAGCGTCATATATTGTGCTGTCCTGGGTATTTGTCATCTCATATCGTTGCAGTGTTGCCACTCCTGACATCATGCTGTGGAGTGTTTGGATGCGGCGCTGGTTGGCGGCATGTGGTGGTTGTTGTATGTTACTGCGGTCAGTATGATTTTCGGTGATTGTGTGCATTGTGCGCATGATCACCGAAGTTTTCGGGGGTTACGCATAGTCCGTTTGTCCGTTCGGCCAGGGCAACAATGGGCTTTGTTGATGACATTGGAGCTATCTTTTGAGAAAGTCACTTGCTGTGCACGTTGAACATTTCAAAGAGTGAATAATCAGCGAGACCATGGGGTGAATGGCTGGA